CAGATAATTTGCACCAAGTGAGTGAGTGAGCGAGCGAGGTTTTACGCTGCCTTTAGCACTATTCCAGTAATATTAATGCGGTGTACACCAGAAATGGGCTTCACACACTGTACCCATTTGGGGAATTGAGCCCGATGTAACAGGCCAGAGTATACCCCTGTCCCAGACTATACCCGGGGTTAAACTGGGCTAGCCCAGACTATACCCCAGGTATAATCTGGGCTAGCCTAGTTTATACCCCGTAGTATATTCTGAACTAGGCCATAGTATACCCTGCTAGCCCAGATTATACCCCTACAGAAAACAAGTGATTAAGGATACTACTATAATTTTATTGTACTTCTCACACAATTAAACACTGGTTACAACATTGAAATGGTACAGCCCTAATTAGATTGATGAGTAGAGTGTGCCCGTAGTTAATCTGTTCATGTTGTTGTTGCGTTTCTATTACAATGTAATGTGTTTGTAGCGTGTGGTTTAATCTTTCTCATATCAAGTTTGATCTGTTTAACACTTGTCAAAATGTTTTGCTTAATTTTTTTAACTTATATGTTTTCTCTCTAAAAGTCAAGCAAACTAATTTGTGTCACAACAAGAAGGTAGGTATAAAATAATTCCACAAACACCTTGATGATCTCCATAGACCATCAAATCTCCCAAAACAATAATACAATAATTCCACTTTTTACCATTTTAAAAATTGTTATAAATATGTATATATGTTCTTTTAACTTTTCAAATCAGTTTTCTCTCAAATTTTCTATTTTTTGTTCCACCTCATTTCTTAATAAGTGTACTACCCCGTCGCCGAAATACCTTAGTTGTGCGTGCGACACTAAATAAAGCAGATAACTAACTACTAACCTTGATGCTGGGTTATGCAAAGTTGAAAATATCACATCGCGGAAAGGCACAAAACAAATGCTTCATAAATTTTGTATTATGCAGTAATGTAAATAAAATGCACCTACAAATTCCTTTAAATGACACCAAGACCATTGCCCTGAGTCACACACTCATATTGAGTGAATTGACAACATAATTTTTTAGGGGTATAGTCTGGGCTGGAGGGGTGTAGTTTGGCCTGGTCCAGAATATACCCCCGGGGTATAAACTGGACTAGCCTATAGTTTACCCCAGGGTATAATCTGGTGGTGGGGTATTCTGGGCTGCTACACCGGGTCTTCGGCATGACAAGCGAATGCTTTAACCACTAGGATACCCCACCACCCCCTATGCTCCAAGTAAAAACATACATGTATCAAGGACCATAGCTGTGTAAAAACCTAATTTTGGTCTCAGTCAACTATCTTTCACTATAACAACCAAATCTACTGCAGTAACACCAATAGCTAATGTGCAGGCTCGTTGTCATAATGTTTTAAAGATTGCACAGCAGAAATCTATCTAGGATCATAAACTAATATCCTAGGGAGGGTAAAACAGGGATAAAAATATGCGGGTGTTTTTTGAGAAACTGGAATTTAGGCCTAAAAAAATGTGGTTCCGACTACCCAACTGACCCTTGAATTCTGGTGCCGACCCTAGTTTTTTTATGAGGTATGAATTAGTGGTGGTCCGATTAATTGAAATAATCGAAGATTGGTCGCAGTGACTTTATGACCAAGCAATCGATAATGTTTTCTCATAATCGAACACAAACAATTCTGGGACACTTGTTTTCATTAACAATATATTTCAGAAGGTTGGTTTTGTCTGTTACATTTCATAAGCACTACAAGCTCGTTCCAAGTCATGATTGAATATAACTTAAAGACACTATGAAATTTATGTTCCTTACATACTTGTCATCCTTTAAAGATATGAAATTTTGCACAAAAAACCCCCAAAGAACTACATGGTTTTTTTCCTTATTTGAGCATTAACAAAAATAACCAGGAACATTTCATAAATGACGATAACCAATTATTTTCGATGATTGATCGGTTGTAATGAACCAATCATCAATTATCAGATTTTAACCAATTCCCAACACTAGTATGAATAAAATAAGCTTTCAGATACCACTGGGTTTTTTCAGCACCAACGGACATTGGTCATTCTGATAGAGAAAGTTGACATCATGGCCTCAAGCTTGATTGAATAAACAATTACACATTGACAAATGTGTTATAAGTTTGTACTTTACTTGGAAAAAAAAATGTAAAAAAAATAATTCCTTCCTACCTACCTCCCCTAAATTTTAAAGAGGTGTAATCGGAACCACAAAAAAAAATTTATTTGGTCTAATTTCAAATATAGTCTTTACTCCAGAGATATTTCAACATTGCAGTTAAACATGACTGTCAGTGAATTATTCAACATGATTCAATCGATGTGAAACTAAGCTTTAAAACCTGATCGTTTATACATGTATCATTATTTATTAACCCAGTTATTAGTTGGTTTTCGAGCAGGTACTAGTGGAATCATAAGTGCTGTAGATACTAATAGTACTACTACTAATAATAACGTAATAATTATACAGTAATAATAATAATACACTGGTAATAAATTAGTCATAATTATACAAACATGATTTGGCCAATTTGAGCTCATATTTGGAAACTTCTGACATGCCTGCTGACTTCGAAATGTCAGGCACAGAGCTATTTAAAGCTATTGTTGTATATAGTCACTTATTTAGACTAACAACTAGTCTCTGAAATGAACATATTTTACAGCAAAAAGCTCACAGTGAAAATTTTTTTATATATAATGAAAACGAGCCCTGACACTTTCTTCATTTTCCTAGAGCTGTGGAAATCTAGACTTGCCACATTTTTAGACTTGCGTGGGCTTTCTTGGATATATTTGCTTCAGGGTCTGTATGACAGACTATCACTTATTTATGCTGTCTTTGTAACAAAACAGGCTAATGAGTTGGACCAGTGAATGATCGTCACTTGATCAAGTCTCACAGGAGTAGTAAAACTTTCAGACAAATCCGAGACTTTTAGAAATAGGGTTGTGTCTGACATAACACCATAGTGATGAAGGAACTTGACCAACGTCTCAGTTAACATGTTAGAAATATGGGGGTAAAGGGAAGGATGGGGGGTGAACCTCATGCATCACTCCGCCGGAACAAACTGTTTGTCAATCCATATAACATGAAACAGCTTTGCACATTAATTTTATCAACTTATCAAGCTTTGATAGCCCATGACATTAAATGCTGCAATTAAGTGTCAAGATTAGTCTCTTGACAAACAAGAAATTACAAATATCTGCAGAGGCCATAAAATTTCCAATTTCTGAGCTTGGAATCAAACCACAGACCTCCTGATCTGAAGATGGACGCCTTGTCCAGATGACTACAGAGTTTAACCTTGATTGGTGATTACATAAACTGTTTCCATTTCAATCATTTGTCATTTGACAAATGAGATAGAACAAATATATGTAGAGGCCATAAATGTAGAATTAGTGAGATCAGATTTGAATGACTGACATCCTGACCCATGGATGGACGTCCTATTGACATGACCAAAGATTTTACCCTGATCAGTGGTTACTGCTTCAGCAAAGTTCATTTCAGACACAGGAAAAGGGGGCCCAGTACTCCCAACCTTCTAAAAATTAGGATTTACAGGGATTGTAATGTGTGAAATATTTTTGTGCAAATCAAATCTGCCATGTGCCTTCCAGCTAACTCTGAGTTGTGAACTTGATGGTGGTGATGGTAATGATGATGATGATGATGATGATGATGATGATGATGATGATGATGATGAAGACGACGAAGACATTCACCAAGTGACTGCTTATGGTGCTAAATTATCATTACTCTGGTCAATGATTGTTATTCTCCATGGTCATATTACCATCTGATCCTTCTGTCCCCATTCACTGAGGGACGAACAGGGCCATGCCTGGGACAAAGTCTCTCGTCTGAGGTGACATTACATGTGCATTTATACAGTGCAGGACTGAAGCCCTAACAACTCTTAGGAGTCAAACTGCTGCACACAGTCATCTAGCAACTAATAATCTGGTCTCTGTCCTTAACTTTGAACACTGTAAAGTGTAAAAAGTGTCTTCTCACTGAATCACATCTTTACCCCAATACAATGCCATGTGTCAATGCTGTGTCATGATCCAGGGTGATACGATGTCCTTCCTGAGTCTTTCCTGAGTGACATTCCAGATCTAAATGCGGGACATCTGGGTCAGTATTCTAAAGAAAACTGTTTACTTCTTTATCGATTTGAGAAAAACAAGCCTGTGACAGGAGAGTCTGAGACAAATCTTCCGTTGATACTCCCTTTAGTATGGAGACACCATTTTGCTTGAAAATGGCAGGATGTAAGCATGTCCACAGTATAATAACATGGCCTTTCTTATTTACATGAGGAAGTAACATTTAATTTGTTTCTGAGATACAGAATTTAGATATCATATACTTGTCTGAAAGCTTCACTCATCGATCTGTACCACGACTTACAAATTGTATCATATCAAAGGAAAAGATCTGATTTTGATGAAATTGTGAACTGTCACATGACATGATATGACCAGCAGATGACATCACATAGTCATTATTATGACATCACGATGCCTTTATATGGATAATATGGTATATGGCGGAACAGGTTTTTAACCATGACACATCATTTTATCATCAAAGAACTCAATTGTTGAATGGAATCTTTCTGTTGAATGACATCTGACAAAACATTCAACTGTAATGAATATGCATTAAATAGAATTCCCTGTGTCTGTAGTTCTAACATGTCGTTTGACAACGTAATGACAACTTGAACGAAATGAAAACCGAAAATGCTACATTGAAGCTACTTACAAATGATACAAAAGTCGTTTTGAAATTTTCAATGAAAAAATATATATCGTTTTTTCAAATAGTACTATTCCAAGAATATGCACGTCATATATAACGTCAACTGTTTGACACTAATGAAAGCAGTATAAATTACAGTTCTGTGAATATTAGCCACTCTCCCACATATATGGTATGACTTCGCGGTAAAACACACCTGCCGTGTTGAGTCGAACTTGCTTGTCACCATATGAAAACGACATCAGCGTAGGGCCCTCCGTTGTCAGTTTCTGTTATTCCCCCCTTGTCCATTTATGAACCGGGGGGACGATGTCGGGGAAGTCCATTTAAATGTTACAATACACCTCTGGTAAATGTAAAAACACTGTATCCTACTTCTCGAAGTTCCTGGTTAACCAAGCCGACAAGCAATTTCTCGATTAGTTTAAAAGGGACATAACTCTAATCCATTTCAGTTCACTGACGCGATTTCTATTTTTAGAATAGATTTTTTTTTTCAAGTTGCGTGACTGCATGAGTTGTTCGCGTGTCATTTTGCCCTGCTTGCGTTCATTGTTGCTCAGCTTTTCGATCACTCATTACAGGATTGTCCAATCCAAATTCCAGGTCTCCAGGAGCATTTGAGCCAGGGATGCTGATGAGTTTAGTGCATTGTCAATAGTTAGTCTAGTTATGTATACTAACATAAAAACTATATTAAAAAAACTATTTTTTTATAAAAATCAGAAATCTAATCTATCGCTGTACACTTGCGGGTTCGAATCCAAGTTCGCCCTGGGAGCTTGTGAGATTTACCCAACTAGTAATGTTTAGTGTTCAGTTTAGTGGAGACCTGCATCACTGTGGGCTCACGTGCACCTCTCACATTAAATTGACAGCCTGTCAAAGACGGATCCCAGTGTGTGTTTGGGGGTGGGGGTGCGTGCGTGCATGCGGGGTGCGCACCCTCCTCCTTTGTCTTGAAAGTGTATTAAATGACCATTTAAACTATTTAAACTCGGTGGAAATGAACTGTGCACGCCTCCCCCTTCTCAAAAAGCTGTATCCGTTCCTGCCTGTGATATTCCTGGAAAGCTGTCCAAATGAGTGAGTGAGTTAGTTTTGACGCCGTTTCAGCAACATTCCAGCCACATCACGGAACGCCACAAACAGGCTTCACACGTCTTCGCGTCCCATTCAAAGAGTCGTGAAACCCATCTCGCACACATCCTCGTAAGTGTTGCCAGGGTTGCTTGAAAAGTCCTGAACCTATCAGTATTATCTAGTTCTTTTCGTCAAAGTTAGGGAAATATCACTGACTGCGGCATTATACAATATCCACTTACTCTGTTTCCCGTCAACGCCAAACTTGATTGGGATTCTTGGACATCCGGATTATTGTGTCACGTCACGCCAAAGCCCCGGGTTCGATTCCTCACATGGGTACAATGTGTGAAGCCCATTTCTGGTGGCCCCGCCATGATATTGCTGGAATATTGCTAAAAGCGGCGTAAGACCATACTCAGTCCCTAATGATCTGATCAAATTATGACGTCATAATGAGGAGATATACTCCATAGTTAGGCTCCTCGGGTTAACCGCCGTGATATTGCTGAAATATTGCTAATAGTGGCGTAAAATCCGACTCGCTTACAATGATATTTACAACAGATCAAAGGTTAAAAAACCCAAACAACATACCGCCACTCAACGGGACCATACCTTAATCTGTTTAGTAAGTTCAGGTGATTGTTTTCAAGGTCATATGACCCATAATTACTCACATATAAACTGTACAATTATATTACTTTGCATATCCATGATGGTAATTAATTACGTTACATTTTAATTTTAAATATACTATTGATATAATTCGATAGACTGAATACTGCGTAAGTTATGAAGTCTTCCTTTATAGATATAACGTTGGCTTGGTAGTTGGTTAAACTTTTAAGTGGGTCCGAGTATCGGAACACTGATGACATACAAACAAAACGTTCATTCAGAATATTTTCCACTATTTACTCTCTACCTCATACGGGTACCCCTACACTTCACACTCGTACTGGGGCGGTGGGGTAGCCTAGTGGTTAAAGCGTTGGCTCGTCACGCTGAAGACCCGGGTTCGAATCCCCACATGGGTACATTGTGTGAAGCCCATTTCTGGTGTCCCCCGCCGTGATGTTGCTAAAAGCGGCGTAAAACCAAACTCAGTCAGTCAGTCAGTCACACCCGTACTCTGCCCTTCACTTGCTGGATAACCATGACAGAGCATATCCCGAAACGTAAGTCGCACTTGTGACGAAAAGTTATTAATTCATGAAGTTGTCATTTCACGTACTGTGCGATACCAGGATGAGTCTCAGATGGCTCGGAAAATGTATCTTGAATATTGCACTCGAATATTGACCAAAGCGGTGTAAAATCGCAATTAGTCGGATTGGCGTTTGTTTTAGCACGCGTGTAACACTACACGGTTGAGAGACTTACTAGTCGAAACACAGTACATAGCTGCTGTAGCTGTATCAGCTAAGGCTGATAAACGTGCAGTTCCTCCTTGGTACATTGAAAAGATGGATTTATGTACAGCACCAGACAGTGTCAACACTTTTTTCCAAACTATCCTGTATTTGAGTATGCGGAATGCTACCCAAGAAGATTCTTAGAATCAACTAAAAGAGTGGATGCAAATAGGACTCGAAAACGTGCATAATAATTCCTTAACATTAAGTAAGGAAAGTGCGCAATCCGTAATTTTTCACTCGCCAGAAATTAGGAAACACATTAATAAGTCACAATAGTAACAAGCCACACTTGCAAACTTCAGAAGAACAACAGGTAGACTCACAGGCTCAGGCATTCTATTCAGATTCACGTAACCTAGTCCTGACGGAATGTGTTCAAAACAGTAAACAAGAAAACAATGAATAGTAGAATCCCAAGTAACACCAAACTAATAATTCATCCCCACGTGTTTAGATGTATTTGAAGCCTAAATTTGAATGAATCTAAATTTAACACGTATCGATGTGGAAAATAATTTTCATTGTTGCGTACGGACCACCTGATATACATGTTTTACACAGGCACTATAACGAAGCTTATTAATAACACTGAAACGAAACGAAACGAGTTTCTGATTTTGTACGTACCAGGCTGTAGTCTGTTTTCCCGTGGTTCCTCCTAGCTGCATGATGTCTTGTACATTTTCCTTGATAAAATTGATCCAACTGTCCACTCTGTTGTTTTGTTCATTGTACTAAGATTGTGTAGTGTGGTTGTACCGCCAGGCGGATATACAAACCAAGCTGCGTAGTTTAGGCTTGTGTCAGATAGAGGTGTGGCATCCTCGAATATCCATTGTACCAAATCTTATATTATTATTTTTGGTGTTTGAGTGATTTAATGATTTGCAATGATAACAAGGCATTTTTTTACTTGTTGGCAGATTTATTTCTTGAAATATCATGTAGGGTCTGTTTTCTGAATGAAAATGAAATATATGAATGGTCGTTTGCGAAAGGAAATCTTTATGAAGGCCATTACTGGTATTTACGCCTTGATATTATCAGTGAGGTATATATCTTATGTACAATATCTGTTCTTGTGGCAAAGTTGTCACGGCGGCATAAAAACAGATTCACTCACTCCCCCGAAGAAAGCAGGACTTAGCGATACCATATTTGCGAGATAGGGTGCATGTGGAAGCGCTAGTAAAATCTCGCCCAAGTGACGGAGTGTCTCGTATTATTGTCTCGGGTTTACATCCTGGTGGACCCGTGAAGATCCGGGTCGTCAGCAACCCATGTTTATCGTGAGATTCGATTGACCGGATTTGCTGGTCAGCTCGCTGACTTGGTTGATACATGCCAATGTGATCCCAAATGCGTAGATCGATGCTCAGGATGTCAGTCACTGGATTGTCTGGTTCAGACTTGATTATTTACACACCGCTGTCCAATAGCAGGAATATTGCTGAGTGCGGTGTTAAAGAGCAATTATACAAACAAAGGCTGCTGGTTCGAAGTATTACATGCTATGTATACGTTAGCACCCTCCTCAAGGGTGATATGGATTTCAACGCTCGAGCCGTCAGGCGAGAGCGTTGAATCCATATCACCCGCAGAGGGGGGTTGCTAACCTACTTATACCACGAGGGCGCCGCATGGACTCGTACATTGCTTGTGGCTCGTGCGTTTCCTGCACGGACCCATTCCAGTTTCACTATGTAATCAGGTAGTTTACTTCCCAACAATAGCTCTCTACGTGAATATCTGACAATCCTACCACTGACGTGTCCCCGGAGAGATACCGTCTCGAAATGAAGGCGCCAACTCGAGTACTTACGATCCTGTATGTGTACTAAAAGCAAATTAAGTGGGAGTGGACATGGAAGTTAAGAACTGCTCCCGTGGTCATCTCAGGACCTCTTCATCCCAGCCATACATCAACAAATATATACAATGTACGCGTAACAAAATGCACAAAACAATACCGAAGCACAATAGCAACAATGAAAAAGGAACACCCACCTCCCAAAAATATCAGACCTGCCACCTCCAAAAATATAGACCCTACCACTCACCCCCACCCCCAAAAAATAAGATAAAAATAAATAAGACCCTGCCGCTCCTCCCCAAAAAAAATAATACAAAAATAAATAAATTTAAAAATAGAAAGAAAACTGAAAACAAACAAATCACACACACGAAACTAAACAAACAAAAAGGAAAAAACCCAGACCGAACAAAAACAACAACACCAAAATAACAACAACTAGCCCAAACAAAAATAAAACCAAAAAGTACAAAACATATCTAAACACCCACTAAACATATCTATAATGGATGTCTTAAAAAAAGCGTCCTCCCAATCCGTCGTTCACAGTTCTATTGCCGTGAATCTATGAGAATCAATAGTAACGTTGGCATATCTTCTTTCACTTTATCTTCTTGGGGAAGTATGAAATATAAATCAAAAGTTGAGTCCCAGCTAAATTGTAGCGCCATACATTCTATACGTAGCTCATCAATACAGAGAAAAACGTATATTTACACCTCCTCATGAAAAATAGGATCTGAAGGTAAATGTTATACAGGTGTACGGAAAATCCTTTTAATGCAATACATATTTTAAGACTATCAAAGTATCTTACTCCTGTATTCACACTTTGCTGAAAACTCACGAGACATACCTTAGAACTGTGTCATCAAACTTAAGGTATCAACATCGTCCTGCTGAAGGATAGTATTAAGTCGTCACACCTGTACACACTTTTACCCTTCCGAAGTCGAGTACCGTGCAAGTAAACAAGACTTGAGTATCTGCTATTAAAAACTCAATGAAAACGTGACGGTGGCTCTCTTGTTCGAATAACGTCGCTAAATGTTTCTTCACGAAGTATAGGTTAGTACTATTTTAGGGGAATCCCAGATTATTGACCTATTTTTATCTGAACGCTGATTGGAAGATCACTATGTCGTCAATAATGACGACCCCTTTCGATTGCAACATAAGTAGACAAGTAACACGATACCGAAATTTCGAATATTTTTGCTAGACTTCCGTGACGCACGTACAGGCTCAGGGAACGTTAATATGTATGTGGGTACCATACGAAGATATAGTTCTCATTTATGATGGCACACATTTTGCCCACACTAACACAATTCATGTTTTCACCGTTAAAATTATTTGACGTAATTGAAGTTTTATTTCTGAACTAAAGACACCAGCATCTGTATCACTCCCTCTTCTAATTAAGTTAGCTAACACTCGATGTATTGTTTGGGGGATGTGAATGAAATCATATGGATTGTCCTGATTACTCCACATACCAAGGGGGTGGTGGCGTAGCCAAGTGGTTAAAGCGTTCGCTCGTCACGCCGAAGATCCGGGTTCGATTCCCCACATGGTTACTATATGTGTGAAGCCCATTTCTGGTGTCCCCCGTCGTGATATCGCTAATAGCGGCGTAAAATCTCACTCACTCACTCACTCACTGACTATACATTCTAACTCACTCACTCACTCACTCACTCTCACTCACCACCACTCACTCACTCACTCACTCACTCACTCACTCACTTCACCACTCACTCACCACTCACTCACTCACTCACCACTCACCACTCACTCTCACTCACCTCACTCACTCACTCACTCACCTCCACTCTCACTCTCACTCACCACCACTCACTCACTCACCACCTCACTCACCTCACTCACTCACCACTCACTCACCACTCACCTCACCTCACCACCTCACTCACTCACTCACTCACTTCCTCACCTCACTCACTCACTCACCACTCACTCACTCACCACTCACTCACTCACCACACTCACCCACCACTCACCACCTCACTATAAGATAGACGGACTACAAATTTGAATTGGTCCTCAGCATCCTATCTTGGTCGACCAATTTAAATTTGTAGTCCGTCTTAGGCGACGAAATGGATAGGGTGGTCAGGTTCTGTGACCTGGTTCAATACGTTATCGTCCCCCGAGATATTTACAGGTGTCATATATACTCATGCCAATAATGGTTGCCACCTTCTCCAATTAAAAAAATTGAAGGGGGTGACAACCATTATTGGCATGAGTATAGATCGACTACTGATATAGTTTAAAGTATTTTGAGTTATTATGATATTGTAGAGTTATTGTATTTCAGATTAGGCCCCCGTTATACCGCATATATACCTGTCGTATAAGACTACGATCGTGGGGACTGGGGTGTGGGTGTGTGGGGAGCCATGGGGAAGTGAGTCTGGCAAACTGACATGACAGTTGGAATATTTTTGACAGCAGTGAAAAGTGTTATAAATGCGTATCGAACACAAGAAACAATATGTGCATATATCATATATATTTTGAAATTGTATAATGCTTTTTCAAATTTACAACTACCCAAATGAGGTTAGACAATGACAAATGTTATTGTTACCCCGGTCTCTAGAACAGCGTGTACAGGTTTCCTTCTCAACTCCCTAGGGAGTACACAACCGGAGCAGCCAGTCAGTCGCTGGGGGTAAACTGTCCCTATATTATATAATCCAACCGGGTACCCATTTACACAAGCATGATCAGTATTGTGAACAGTTACTTGAGTAACTTGAGCAAAAGACACACCACGTGTCTCACATGTGTGGGGCAAGTCTCTAGCCCTGGTAGTCAAGCTGTCACCATCCACATGATCCAGCTTCTCCTCTCCGACTTCACTCAACTTTGTGGCATGTTCGCTGTGCGCTGGACTATATATAGACAAACGATGATTTCATTACAGTCTCTCTTGTGTACATACAGTTGACTAAAACATAGATAAAATATAACACAAAGAGGCAAAAAGTACACAACCAATCACTTAATGATTTACGAGAGATAAAAAACTAGTAAATACATAGATAAATAGAAATAGAAATATATATACATATACATGTATAAACGTATATAATGCTGTTAAAAGGCATAAAAGTGAAACAGTATAATTAGGAACATAAAACATGACGTCGTTTCGATAAGATAACATTGCAGGTTCTGGCAGTGCGTAAAACAATATTACAATCACTAAAAAGTACGTAAAACTTTATAGCATCAGTAAGGTTTGTAAAATCAGAATATATCTGACACTTCTCATAAAATATGCATCTCTCTCATCTTCATATAGTGTGTAAAATCCGTCCACAATTTCATTGCAATTGAAACATACATAGGTACTGCATGCGTTAATCCGGACATCCCCGTTTTGGTTCTTTAATGGTAATGATTATTATATAAATATATCGCAACTGATCCCACTTTCGCTGGTTACTTGTGCTGGTGTGTGGTTCTGTGCGTACAGCTCAGGTAACGAATGAGTTGAAGTTAAGCAACGTGACCGGGTGACCGTGTTTGGCAGCTTGACTCTTAGAGTTTCTGGGACTTCAGTCCTGCCCCACAACGAAGCATATGTGATACATGTGGTCTCACCTTAGGCAAGTGTGTTTGTTCAAAATTGCCTATGTTCACCCAGCACAAAATGGGTACCCGGTTGGATTATCCGGGGTAAAAATAATCAGATTCTGATTACAGCAGTGAGCAACTAGTCAGAAGGATACTAGGCGCTATATAAATGAATTATTATTATATTAGAAACAGTTATTCAAAGCAATTTTGTACCTAAAACAGATTGCATGGATTACTGTTACATGATTGGCTGTAACGGACGGTGCTACTGTTGATGTCGGTTTCATATCGTTGTTAAAAATCTAAAAAAAAGACAGTGTGACAGTATGCACCTTGATGTCAGGGTATTTCCCCGTATACCATGCTAACATGCGTACACATGTTTATCATGTGACTGATAGTGTTATCGAGTCAGTCACCATTCCTATAACCTTAGTCTATCACGGTCGCCTAAATATCAGTCTAAGTAAACCTAGACTCAGTATTATTCGTTACACTACTACACTGAGTCTAACAAAACATAGTAGAAGGTTGTACCCGTGAAGGTCCGGGCTAGAATATTGGCCTTCAGTAACACATGCTTGTCGTAAGAGGCGACTAACGGGATCGGGTGGTCAGGATCGCTAACTTGGTTGAAACATGTCATCGGTTCCCAATTGCGCAGATCGATGCTCATGCTGTTGATCACTGGATTGCCTGGTCCAGACTCGATTATTTACAGACTGAAAGCCATATACCTGGAATATTGCTGAGTGCGGCGTAAAACTCAACTCACTCACTCACTAGTGGAAGGTCGCGTCAGCTAACCTTTGAGCGACCTATGACCGTCCAATCAAATGCGAGACGGACGAACAGATTTCACAAATCAAACAACGGCTACTGTTTAGGATTCGGCGGGACTTACAAAATCCCCCGGTCACTGACACTGATCTCTCAACAAACGAAAATCGGCATAAAACACAGATATTTCACCTGCAGTATATACGCTTAGGCCTAGGGCTTTCTGATGACATGGTTACCATTAGCTAACATTTCCGCAAGCTGACATCCTTGAATATTGACAAAAACGCTGTTTACTTACTGTTGTGGCGTGCTATTTAGCAAACGCATCCTCCTCGACAATGGTCTAATCATGGAGCGAAACGTAGTCCATTAAAAACTTGTGGATCATAGATTGTGTCTACTTTATCTCTGTCACATTGGTTTTTATAATCACCTATTTAATCGACTCGGCTCATTTATTGTCTCGTCCCCCACCGTGATATTGCTGAAATATTGCTAAAAGCGGCGTAAAACTCAACTCACTCACTCATTCTTTTTCTATTTTGTATTTTTTCTTCTTTTTTTGCATTTTCTACACACTCTTCATGAGGAATCATTTATTTTCTCAGAGAAATAACCTACGGTGATACAAAAACTCTCTAAATCTTTAGCCGCAACTGCATTTAAAAATACAATGTATAAAAAATGTCATTTCTTATGTAGTAACTCTTATTAGGTTAATGATGCATCATGTGGGTAAATATATTCTCTTTTTATTCAATGCCATATTTTATATACACCTATTTTGATTTAGGCTTGATTTTAATGCTGTGTGTGTCTCATAGGCCATATAAGCCTGACATTGTAAAATGTGTGACACATTAGTAAAACACTTTTCTTCGTCTTCTACATGAGATTTATATGTACAAAAGGTCAGTGTTATATAAACATTGCGTGTTTTTGCCAGCTGATACCACTAACAGCAAACCGATACCGTCAATTTCAGTGTACACGCAATAACGAGCAATTGAATACTGATTGCTCTTTCTAGGCCTGTTAATCCCGAGCTGTTAATTGATATCTGCCAGCTTATGGTTAAAGGCGATTAGATACCCCTTACTTAATAAGTCGTAATTATAGTCTCGAAGGATTTAAATTAATTGCATATTATGATGTAAATATTGCGACTAAATACAAAGCTAATGATACAACTGTCGTCTTAAACATAAGTGATCAAAGAATTGATTATATTTATTTAACAGATTAAGTCTAACATATCATGGACTGGGGCGGATACAGCTTTTTTGAGAAATGGGGGGTGCACGCTATTGAGAAAAGGGAGGGTGCACATTTCATTTTCACCCGAGTTTCAATGGTCATTTAATCAACTTTGAGGACAAAAGGGGGGGTGCGCACCCCTGCAAACCAACCCCACCCCCACACCCCCCCGGGATCCGCCCAAGATGGATTAATCACGCGCAGTGGGCGATCAAAGGCTGTCAATGAGCGAGAGCCGACGCTCGGAAACACTCGGTTTTGTTACGACGTGCTCGCCCTTGTTGCCGAGATTTACGAGTTGCGACTGCTGTTGGAAGTGACCCCAAATTGTAAACAGTGTCAAGGTCGTATTTATGAACGCGCGTATTTTGACAGTCGTTGAGTCAGTTCGTAACAGCCATCACTATGAAGCCACTCATATAGATTAGACCACAGTGGACAACAAGACAGACCCAGATTCGATGGAGGACAAGATTTATATCCCAGTGAGCGGAGTACAAGTTTCTGGTGAGTGGTGGGTGACTCGCCATTTCTTCCCATAAGCGGAGACTATCGTATCTTTGAGCCTTCACCCGAGACAGTTTCACTGCCAGTGATTGTGACAACATACACCAATATCACCTGTTAGACAGAAAGTACATGAACTGTTCATGACAATTTAATGACACCAAAGTGATACCGTCGAATCGTAAAAACATAAATTCCTTATTATTGTTCCTGCTGTGTACAGACTGTACATGATGATGATGATGAACACACTGACCGTCAATGGCGTCATCGTAATGTACAGTATGTCAATCTCGCGGTGGTCACCAAGTGAGGAGTGACCCCACCAATTTGTGTCCGTATTCGTTAATACATGTAGAGTTTCATCTCGATCGAGATCAATTCTTTTTCTAAACATCAGCTGTTTGTGTATATACGACACTTATGTAGACAGCACAGAGCTCGTTTCTTTCTTGTTTAAATATATATAGTTTTTATCTCACTGAGAGTATATAACAAAGTTGATATTTTCATGAGTGATGCACAAGACATTTGACACGAAAAGACAAACAATTCTATTTCTTATAGTTTTAATTACTGATCTTCACCATAACAAACTGTTGTTGTTTTTTGTTACAGCCATTTGCAGCATATTTTGTCATTTAAATGTCGAAATGTCTATAATGAACTATGGTTATGATAAACTAAAATCAGTAAAATTGTTTTAACTGTAGCTTAGTGTAATTACACTTTGTGACCAAGAAGAATAACAAAGTTTAATCATTTCAAGTATGACAATGACATTGTTTCATTTTTCTATCCAAAGGCATTGCATATACTAGTATTGTAATTCCCGTTCACATTTTCAGATTTGTTTGATTGGTCGGATCCGGTACAGAAGTGTAGACAGAAGACAGTTGTTATGCAGCGAGGTCTTGCCAGGCAGACCAGTCAGACAGGGTCTGTTGTTGAGTGTAATGAAGAAAAGATTGCCCTGTTCAGATATCACCGGCAGGTGTATGCTATCAGGGAACGGTGCCCACATGCAGGTAACTGGTTGACAGTGTGGATAATGCCTGGAAAACCATCATCAATACTTTTGTTTGTTTGTTGTTTAATGCTGCACACAGCAATATTCCAGCTATAATATATGGCAGCAGTAAATAATTGAGTCTGCACCAGACAATCAACATCATGAGCATCGATCTATATGGTTTAAACATATTTATTTCCAAAAGAGGAACCGGATTGGTAAACAAGCAGTATGGTGCTTATCTGAATACCACTCCGGAATACAGATATATTATAGATATAATAATCGTACGGAGAAAAACATGATATTAACAAATGATAAACAATAGCCTTCTGGAAATGTAACAATCATAAACTGTAACATAGCCGCTTTTAACGTTAGAACCATTAGTGTCGGAAAATACTTAATAGTAAGTGCAATTTCGTTTTTATATTACAACACAAATCTGCCTGACAGTACAATGAAAGAATGGAAAGAGTCTAATAATTCAAGATTACCTTTAGTAGATCCATGAGAGTGGCCGTATAGTATTGATTTGATGTCATATCCTTTAGTATAGAAGTGCATTTTATGTCTTATGTCAGTGTAATTAACGCATCTAAAAGAAATAGTGAATTGGATCTTCGTAACAGTAGCCACAAGAACAAGAGGGGATTTGAAGATATAAATCGTTGATATTTATGTAATGCGTTTAATCGCTGCAACCGAGCCTGAGGCGTGAATGGATAATCTGACAGAATCTTGTTCCAAAGCTTAAATTAAAGTAATTTTGACTATTATTATTATTTGACCCATTAATCTGTTTCTTAAAACTACCCAAAGTAGCCTTTTCTCTATAATCGGTAGCCAAACAATTCCACAATCTTACTGTATCTGGGAGAAATGACTTAGCATAACTTGCACTTTTACTGTCGATAGTTTGGAGCTTCAAACGGTCTCGGAAAATGTAGCTTGTTGTGTCAGATACCTTAGGAGGGACGAGATCGCTCAGATATTTTGGAGTTAAATTATTAACCATCTTATAGAAAATGTTAGTTTTGGATGTATCTTCGAGTACATAGTGGTTGGAAATTTGTCTCATCATAAATTTTGTTGTGACTCGTACGTGAACAGCACCGAAATAGTTCTAAGTGCATCAAGATTAAGTTTTTCCAGTGTTAGTACTTGCTGTTTGGTACAATTGTCCCAGATGTGACAACAATAGTCGAAAATAGGTAAGATATATTGTTTGTACATTGTTTGTAAAGTTCTACGTGAGAGACGATATTTAAAACCTCTAAGACAGTTTACCATGGGTGCAACCTTTTTAGCGATACAGTTAACATGGTCAGTCCAGGAACAATTGTGCTGTAAAGTTAGTCCCAAATGTTTATGGCTATTAACGTCATTAATATTACTATCCTTCATTGTTAAGTTTCGTTTTGGGCTGGGCAGAACTTTACGACAGAGAATTGTATAGAATCTGTTTTATTAGGATTAAATGTAACTTGCCATTTGTCAGCCCAATCAGAAATTTTACGTAGATCATTATTAAGAGACAGAGCAGTTTCATCAGGATCATTTATTATCGATCTATTTATTTATCGATCTATATAATTGTGATATGATGACATGTGTCATCAATATTTCACTTGTACAAACTATCTTAGAGAAAAGTAGTGTATACAGTCCTGAAGTATTCAGGTGTTGGAAAATACATATCGTTTAATATTGAAATGTTTCTTATTTAATTTAATTAAACGCCCAGTGATATTACTATCCCTTTTACATACAGTAAACTCCCTGGATCTCGAACTCCTGAATCTCAAATCTTCTACATATCTCGAACCTAATCTCCGGTCCCAACCTCTTCTTATATATTTATCATTATTTTTGTATTCATATCTTGAAGTTCGAGATTGACATACACACAATATCTCGAACCTGAAAATTAGTCCCAAGATCACCAAATCATATAAATTTTGTATCTCAATCTCAAACTGTACTCACCATAACAAACATTTTGCAGACATGTTCAATGCGTTGTCAACAAACAATCAGTTGTATAAACAATTGCACTTACATGGTTAAATAACGTGAGGATTAGTTAAATTGAGTTCACTGTGTCACTGCCACTTTGTTTTGACAGATTTTTTGTTTTAGAGATTTTTTGTTTTCTACGTATACAAGTTCAATGTATGTAGTACTATGTACACAATGTGCATATATACAATGTATTTCAATCTCGAATCACACGATACCTCGAACCTGTCTTGATGGTCCCTTGGGGTTCAAGATCCAGGAAGTTTACTGTATGTTGTTCGGGCTAGTACAACGGATGGTATCCAAGCAGGCTGATAGTATTTTCATATAATATTCCATATGAAGAAATTAACTTTTTCTTGAGAGACAGTTTTGTGTACTGCTATTCTCTCTTGAGAGACTGTTTTGTGTACTGCTATTCTCTCTTGAGAGACTGTTTTGTGTACTGCTATTCTCTCTTGAGAGACAGTTTTGTGTACTGCTATTCTCTCTTGAGAGACAGTTTTGTGTACTGCTATTCTCTCTCTGAGACTGTTTTGTGTACTGCTATTCTCTCTTGAGAGACTGTTTTGTGTACTGCTATTCTCTCTTGAGAGACTGTTTTGTGTACTGCTATTCTCTCTTGAGAGACTGTTTTGTGTACTGCTATTCTCTCTTGAGAGACTGTTTTGTGTACTGCTATTCTCTCTTGAGAGACTGTTTTGTGTACTGCTATTCTCTCTTGAGACTGTTTTGTGTACTGCTATTCTCTCTTGAGAGACTGTTTTGTGTACTGCTATTTTCTCTTGAGACTGTTTTGTGTACTGCTATTCTCTCTTGAGACTGTTTTGTGTACTGCTATTCTCTCTTGAGAGACTGTTTTGTGTACTGCTATCCTCTCTTGAGAGACTGTTTTGTGTACTGCTATTCTCTCTTGAGACTGTTTTGTGTACTGCTATTCTCTCTCTGAGAGACAGTTTTGTGTACTGCTATTCTCTCTTGAGAGACTGTTTTGTGTTTTGTGTACTGCTATTCTCTCTTGAGAGACTGTTTTGTGTACTGCTATTCTCTCTTGAGAGACTGTTTTGTGTACTGCTATTCTCTCTTGAGAGACTGTTTTGTGTACTGCTATTCTCTCTTGAGAGACTGTTTTGTGTACTGCTATTCTCTCTTGAGAGACTGTTTTGTGTACTGCTATTCTCTCTTGAGAGACTGTTTTGTGTACTGCTATTCTCTTGAGAGACAGTTTTGTGTACTGCTATTCTCTCTTGAGACTGTTTTGTGTACTGCTATTCTCTCTTGAGAGACAGTTTTGTGTACTGCTATTCTCTCTTGAGAGAGATTCTCTCTTGAGACTGTTTTGTGTACTGCTATTCTCTCTTGAGAGACAGTTTTGTGTACTGCTATTCTCTCTTGAGAGACAGTTTTGTGTACTGCTATTCTCTTGAGAGACTGTTTTGTGTACTGCTATTCTCTCTTGAGACTGTTTTGTGTACTGCTATCTCTCTCTGAGAGACAGTTTTTGTGTGTACTGCTATTCTCTCTTGAGAGACTGTTTTGTGTACTGCTATCCTCTCTTGAGAGACAGTTTTGTGTACTGCTATTCTCTCTTGAGAGACTGTTTTGTGTACTGCTATTCTCTCTTGAGAGACTGTTTTGTGTACTGCTATTCTCTCTTGAGAGACTGTTTTGTGTACTGCTATTCTCTCTTGAGAGACAGTTTTGTGTACTGCTATTCTCTCTTGAGAGACAGTTTTGTGTACTGCTATTCTCTCTTGAGAGACTGTTTTGTGTACTGCTATCCTCTCTCTGAGAGACAGTTTTGTGTACTGCTATTCTCTCTTGAGAGACTGTTTTGTGTACTGCTATCCTCTCTTGAGAGACAGTTTTGTGTACTGCTATTCTCTCTTGAGAGACTGTTTTGTGTACTGCTATTCTCTCTTGAGAGACTGTTTTGTGTACTGCTATCCTCTCTTGAGACTGTTTTGTGTACTGCTATCCTCTCTTGAGAGACAGTTTTGTGTACTGCTATTCTCTCTTGAGAGACTGTTTTGTGTACTGCTATTCTCTCTTGAGAGACTGTTTTGTGTACTGCTATTCTCTCTTGAGAGACTGTTTTGTGTACTGCTATTCTCTCATTGCCATGCCATATGACTGACACATAACACACACGCATGTTAAATTAAAAATCAAATAGTGGAAATGGAAATATGGAAATAGTCAGAAAATACTTTTAGCTTTCTTGGATAGTTGTCTCACTCATGTTTGCTGATAGAGTGAATGTCAAACCCTGTCATTTTGGTCAATGACGGACTTAAGAATAAATGAGTTACAGAATCAAGACTGAATCATGGAAAAGTTATCATTGAGTCCTGATTTAACTCATAACAAATCAATTATTTGTTTGTTTGATCTTTTATTCATGAGGAGTAAAGGTCCAAGTGAAAAAATGACAGCATGTTGTCTGTTGTTTGTGAAAGTCTGTCAATATTATGTCCATCAGTTAATTTCCATCATCCAATTTGAACAAGCTGAAGTGGTCAGCCTGAAACATTTGGACGATGTCTACAATCATAATAGTGTAATCAGAATTATAATCATAATAGGTCTCAGATGTATTCTAGTTGTTCCAGTGTGATCAAATTTAAATCAAATTGAGAAAAAGTATTTTGAATCGAAAAAGTATTTTCATCCACAAGGTTCAGAATCAGAAACATTTACATAACAATATGGTAACACAATCAAATTCAGCTTTGTCAATGACTCATACTGCTAGTAAAATGACAAAATTACATTTGAAATAAAAGAAAGAAAATCTGCAAAAACTTTTAGCCATTGATTTGTACCCTTGTTTACAGGTGGGCCCCTTCACTTAGGAGACATTGAAGATCTCCCAGGAGGAGGCTTGTGTGTTCGATGTCCTTGGCATAGCTGGAGGTTTGACCTTGATACTGGACAAGTCAAGATGCCTAAAGGAAGAAAAGTGACTGCACAAGTGTTCCCAGTGAAAGTAAAGCCAGATGGCAGTTTGTTGATTGGTTTTGATAAATTTGCAGATGTTTATTTCAGTATTGAAACAGAGTTTTAATGCTGCAGGTTGTTGGTGCTGTATGTGATTGATCATCATTCATTTGTTGTATTCATTGGAGGCATTTACCTTATCATATTTTACTCCCTTCTATGTTTTTTACCAGTTTTCTGGATAAGTAAGGTGTGATAATATTTCAAGGTGTGTTAACCTTTAGCCTGCTGAATTAATTTCAGCATAAGGCGTTGTAAAAAAGGTGGGTGAATTCAAACAGTCGGTGATGTAACATTTAGATTGTTTTTGTTTTTGAATAATTAAACCGAAAGTTACTAATTTTTAGAAAATGGGAAACTTCTGTGTTTTCTCTTCACCAAAGAACATAAATATTGATCATATTATAAAAAATATTTCATTGTGAAGAAAATAATAGACTGGGTACCACTCGACGTGATGTGCCTGAAGTCAACAAAGGCCGTTATTTGTGGCTGTGTGCCAAGAATTTTGGTGAACACAGGTTTAATTTGCGGGCGTTTCGTTTTAAGATACATAAACTAATTGAAGATTATATATTTAGAAAGCTGAGAATTAATTCAAGTGACATGTAAATCCGACTTGTTGAATAATTATTGCAAGTTTTATTTGGGGATGTCAGTATGCTGCTCTCCTGTAGAATGGGTTTGACAGTAGCATTGAGAGGATTAATGGTCTGCTGTATTTAAGGATACCCTTTGACTGTTATGAACGAAGTTTGAATATTTATTTCTTAAACACGGTTTACCTTTGTTGCTTGCCATCCTCAGCAATATTCCAGGTATATAGCAGTGACCTCTAAATATTCTGAACTATCTAGTGATTCATATTATGAGGAACGACCCAATCCAGTGGGATGGAAGTACATACAATTGATGAAATAATTGAACCTGACCACCTCATCCACTTATAGGTTTTTGAGGATGTATTGGAACACTGAATCCCATCAGTGGCCCATTTGGCATTTATATAGCAATAATGGGTGTTTAGAATTAAATTTGTGTTTGATAGCGCTTCAAAATATCTTTATGTGTTACAATGTTCAAAAATGTATTCTTATAATGACATTATTACCAGCAGTGCTGGATCCAATTTGTTTCAAATTTTGCAAATAACATACATGTTCAACTGAAGACTCTACTAGTGAGTTGCCTCAGCTTTGTGTTCCTTGAGTTGTGTCTGTAACAACTTACAGAGTTGTGTCCCTTTTCAGAAAAGATTTTTTTGCCAGTCATAGGTTCTGATCTTGTATTGTCCTTACTATGAACCTCAGTCATTCAGCACTATTCCTGAATTTGTTGGTAACGGTCTAAAAATTATATCCTGAGATCAATTTTGGTATTTTCTTCCTATTTCCTTTTATTAAAATACAGGATGAAGGTAGGTAAGTCATCTAAGATTCTGTAATTTGCTATGCAGAGTTGCGTCCCTTGGGCATGTAGAACTTCATTCTCTTCCCACACAGGTTACTTGTCATATCGTCCTACATACCTCTGTTCTAATGCGGTCATATTTCCCGGTTCTCTAAAAAATCCCCAAGCAGCAAAAACTCGCAACACGAATTATCTCCCTTCTTTCTATCCATTCAGAACACGTGTTACATCGACTTAGATCCAGCTTGACTAATACAAGCAAATGTGTGGCCACAAATATCCCTCCTCTGCCGGGGACTTGTGTTGATGTGACACACAAGGCATTTAATGGCTAGCTTGTCCGTTGTCAACGAGGGCAATGGAGTCACCATTAATCCGCTATTACATGACTGTGTTCTGTCTAGAAGAAACGTTGTGCATCGCCCAGGGGAAGAGGTTCTAGTTTTCCCGAAGCGGGAATACGAATACGGAAATTACCGAGACCTTGCGAATGATCACTTTAAAACTACTTCGCTGATTGCACAACTAAATCGGATTGCAACCAATCACGAATCCCGAACACTGGCACCATGAAAAGGCTGTATTAGAACAGAGGGTCGTAGGAAGATATGACAAGTAACCTCTGTGGGAAGGGAGTGGTAGAACCTATGAAACACAGTTTGCCCATATTATGTTTCTAGGTTTGTCCCCACCATACCATTGCTCCTGGATAAAACTGTTAAAAGTGATATTAAACCCAAATCACTCATTACTGAAATACGGGCGATGGGGTAGCCCAGTGGTTAAAGCGTTTGCTCATCACACCGAAGTGTTATTGCTGGAATATTGCTAAAAGCAGCCTAAAACTATACTCACTCACTCTTTACTGAAATACAGTTCAAATGAATTTCACTTTAATGCATTACTCATTTTGAAAAAATATTGTTACATTTGTTTGGCAATCATCCCTAACTAAGAATAAAATAGTTTTCTCAGGGAATGCAAAGTTTTTCTGGAAGTGACCCTGATCCCTAGTCTTTGAATATACCTCATGCTGGCATTGTGATGTCCTTATTTTACGTTTTTACTGTTAATTCTATGTCGCTCACACCTAAACGTTTTGTTTAACACATGGCTGTGTTTAGATGGCATTTTGGTCAGGACACATATATTATTTATAAACACTGATAGTTACGGGTACTAACCTTGATTGCATTCATTTTACTTTATCGCTAGGTTGTATATGTACCATACTGCTAATTTATTATGAAAAGACACTTAAATTATACATTGAAATATGTAATATATCAATGAGAAATATTACAAATATTCGTTTGTATACTGTGTCTCGTTACTTAAACATTGTTATCTCTGTCACAGAAGAAGCTGCTTGTCTCAGAAATTAGTACATTGATAGATTTTATGAAATACTGGTATTTTCCAGTGAGCAACAAAACCTGATAACCTCAGAACTATTCTGTTTCCTTTAACATGTTACTGTTTCAGTTATTTACAAAAATATGATTTTATTATTACTCTCCTTCATTTTGAGAAACATTTATGAAAATGTCATGACAATTTTACTTGTCAATGTTAGTGAAATTAAATGTTTTTTTAATGTTTTATTGTTATTACATATCTGGAATATATACATATTAATGTAAGATATGCTCTTTTACTATAAAGGGGCTGTGCCAATCAATTTTAGTTAACATGCATTTAGAACTTCAATATCCAGCTAGCTTAATTCAGAGAGTTGTGTTGAGCGTTTAGTTGTTAATGTACACAGTGTGCCAAATAGTTTCCAAATTTTGCTAGCCAGTCCGGCTAGCTATGTCTGAAAGTTACTAGCCCACAAAATGTTTCACTAACCTGAAATATGAATGTAGAAACTAAGCAAGAGATAGCAAAAATAGATGAGAATAAGATTTTGTCGGTATGACACGGGTTTCATCATTAAGCTGCTCATATGATGAACATTTTTATCAGGCCATTATCTTGCATGCTTTAAAAGTGTATTACATGTGTATAACGTAACAAGTCAGAAAGAGTGATATATTTACAAAATGACCATATGAAAATTAACTAGCCAGTCGAGCCAGTGACTGTGGAGATTTACTGGCGTGGATTTTCACTAGCCACGGGCAAGTGGGCCAGTGGCTATTTCGCACACTGGATATACGTATGTATATACATATTTGTGTGGTGTTGTCACGTCTTGGGCCTGTCCCTTACACCTGTATCCAGGTGACATGTTTATGAAAATGAATTAAACTTGTCTCAAACAGATTTTGTCTCTGGTTGTTTTATTGGAATTTTAAAAAAAAGAAAAAGAATTTCATAGTGGAAAGATGTTATTTTCTGTCTCAGTTGTCTCCCTTGGAATATACTTCGTTTCCCATAGATGTACAAAGGTCTGATCACAGGTTAGTTTGTTGATTAAGGCTTCACTGGAAGATTTGATTTTGGTTTTGTTTATTTGTTTAACACCCACTCAGCAATATTTCAGCTATATGGTGCCAGTCTGTAAATAATCGAGTATCGACCAGAAATTCCAGTGATCAACAGCATGAGATGTTCATCTGTAGACACAATTGGGATACGATGGAATGTATCAAAAGTCAGCAAGGCTGACCTGCCTATGATCCTTTTCAGTAAAATATGTTCATTTCAGTCAGTCTCCTCTTACAACAAACATGGGTTGCTGAAGACCAATTCTAGCCAGGATCTTCACGGTAGCGGCAGGTTTGAATCCATACTGGATAAGATCATTGGTTTGTCAGCTCCATGTGCATACTGGGGATCCGTGAAGATCCGGGTTAGAATGAATCTTCAGTAACCCATGCTTGTCGTAAGATGCGACTAACGGCATCGGGTGGTCAGGCTCGCTGACTTGGTTGACACATGTCATCGGGTTCCCAATTGCGCAGATCGATGCTCATGTTGTTGATCACTGGATTGTTTGGTCCTGACTCAATTATTTACAGACTGCCGCCATATAGCTGGAATATTGCTGAGTGCAGCGTAAAACTAACCTCACTCACTCACATACTGGGCTTTGCTGACAATGGCCGTTGTGCATTAAGTCATGTGGTATTTTCCTCCCAAAATTAAGCAGACACATCGTGACTGAATTCCTGTTGAAAACACGTAAACTATAAATCTCAATCGATCGTATTGAAATTCAAGTTCACCTTACTTGTCAACATTATCTGAAGCGCTCCTATAATCCCACGAAAGTATCCAGCTTCAAACTACCGGTACACTCTGTTAGGTGAGGTGAGGTGAAATTGGGTTTAACGTCGTACTTGAGAATATTTCGCACATATGACGACGTGCATGCGTGTGTATGTGTATGTGCGGCTGCTTGTACTAGCCCAGACTTAAGCTGGTTTATAGTGCTAGCCCACTGGATCCCACGCCGCAGCGAAGCATGAATACCCCACTCAGACACATTATCCTGACTCCGAGCCGACCAGTCCTTGTTGTATTAATGCCGAGCGCAAACAAGTACCATATTTTAATGTCTTTTGGTATGACACGGTCGAGGATCACTTCCGCTCTCCGGGCGGACGCTTAACCACTAACTGTGTTAGGATTCATCCAGAATAACCAACAGCATTACTGGTTACAACTAGGTAGAATTCTCAGGATCTGATGTTACATGCATGACTATATTCGACACTAGACGAGGGGAGTCCATGTTTCCAAAGTTGATTAAAAAAATGTCAATATTTTATTTGTTTTTATTTTAATTGTTTACTTTCTTGAAGTAATTGGAGACATTTATATACTTTGTATTTTCTAATAAAATGGCGACTTCTGATGTGTAATTCGATATATGAGGATGACGCAGCACCTACCTGAAACTGTTAATTGTACATGTTTATCGTGCTGTCCTTACAATTTGGTTTGAATATTGACCTTGGAATCGTCTGACAAAGACCATATTGAAATCGTGGTGGTTCCGAACAATCCTTCATTATGTCAACTGCTGAATATTAATTATATAAATATTATTTATCCCAAAACACGCCTCACATAAGCTAAAAGAGACGGTACATACCAACGGCCATTACAACTGCTTTATACACATATCTATACCTCGTTACTCCCCATTCATAATCTGCATCAGACAATCCTGTGATTGGTTTAACGAGCGACGACCCACGTCGTTGGGTATACAAGGCCACTACGGACAAAGACACCTAATTTGACCATCTGGTTGTTAGTTGTCTAATACCACCGGTATGTGTTTCTGGAGGCCAGGTCTTACCGTTAAGACACGTGAAAGTTTGGAATTGGTCTTCAGTCATTCCTGCTAGTCGTAAGAGTCGAATAACGGGAACAGGTGGTCAGAATCGCTATTGTGGTTGATAAATGCGGTAGATCGATGCATGCTCATCACTGGACTAACTAGTCCAGACGCGATTGTTTACAGACACCGTCGTATAACATATAAACACACACACACACACACACACACATACACACACACACACACACACACAATGGAGTCAACCAGGGGCGTAGGCAGTTTTAGAAGCAAAGGGGTTACACTTGAGCCAGTTGCAACTTCAGGCTTCAGCCCTGAGGTAACCCCAAAGCCAACAAAAAATATTCGAATATATCTGTAACACAATTGTAAACAAAGCTCATAGAAATTGTCATCTTTAACAAAGCCACCCTCACCCCATGTCTTTCCGCCCCGAATAACCCATTGTAAAACACGTGACAAAAACATGTTTGGTAACGGGTTGCACAAACATGCAACATTGCCACATCCAGTTAGCCGATAATCACACGTACATGTTGTCCAACACCCACTGTTTTGTAACCAACCCTTTAACTCCATATGAAATAATCTCGTCACATGGTCACTAATCGTGTCAACGAAACACCTCATTGCTTCTCAGCCAGCTTGTTACGTCTAACTGGAATCTCCCAATCCAACAGGCGTTACTAAGGAGCCCGTTGTCTCGATGTCAAACCAGTCGAACCTGCTCTAGTTACCTCCCGTTTCCATACACTACAATACCCATATTATAAGGCTGTGTTATTCAGTATCGTCTTGTAATTATCGTACAATCACAACCCAAGATTACCTGCGACAAAATACACGCTCGTTGTCTGACGGAGTTGTGGCTTCGAATATCGTGTGTTCGGGTATCTATGCAAAGGTGCTTGCAGGAATTTAAAGAGAAGTTTTTTACCTGTTAATGGATGGCTGGAACTGATGTGAATCCCCTGTCTTCGAGTGCTGACTTCCTGCACAGGACCCGGCCCATCATTAATACCAAGTACGTATACCGCCTTTAAGAATGTACAGATACCGATATCAACAGGCTGTAGGAATATTGTATAGGCGTGAAAGTGACTTGTCACGTAAGAACGATGTTAAAATTACGATACAGACAAATTAAGTATTTTTTTTTATGACTTATCGTCGTGGTTGCTAGGGACGACGCGTAGAGTTGAATCCAGAACACGTTTTATGGATAACAACTTCTTTTTATTCCTCCTTATAACTCCTTACATTCGTTTCAGAACCAATTCTTGCTCCTTCATCAGGTGAATGGAGACGGCAATGTAACATGAAAAAATCCTAATACGATTAAAGGCTGACCTTATTGACGAAAGGTTTTATCAAAATCATCAATACAAGCGGAACAAAGGTCAGAAAATCAGTGTAAAATAAGAAAGGCTTTTCATGTTTCAACAAAAGAAAAGATACACTTGGATGTTCACACTTCACTGTGTGCGGTACTGTATGATGTGAAATGTCGATACTCTCTGATATGTTGTGTGTAATATCGCCTCGGATACCTGTAGCAAATACATAGCCTTCTAACTCACATTTCTTGTGTTGTTTTAGCCACCATGAAAAATCTGAGTGTATATTTCTTTTGCCAGGCAGTACATTTCACATATGCTTTAAAGGCAAAGTGTTTCGTCACGTAATCGTTGAATCTTGGTAGTTCGATAAAAAACTTCATATTTGCTTCAAAGTCAAAGATTGTTATACCCATAATCGTTGACACTATGTAATAAAATATTAGGACATGTTCTATCCGTAGTTATATTGTTTTATAGACAAGTATTTATGACGTAATACAATAGAGGTTGACGTCATATTCCAGTATTGCTGACTGCTTTTTCTATTTATAGACATGGTTCATCCAGATTAAAACATTTAATGACTATTATTTTTATGACGCTTCCACTTATGTTATCTGAATCCGTCATGATTGGGGTCAACAGACCATCAAGTAGATTGCAGCCAAAATCGTTAGCACTGTAACATAAATCTGCCAGTAGGTTTATTAACCCACTCTGTCGTCGAGTACTCTTGTATAAGTTACATACACACTTGAGTGGGTTGAATGCATTTGATATTTACACATGGATATCAACGCAGCTTGTATATCAACACGAGTACACTTGTAATAATCGTCCTAGTGACCTAGTGAACTATCCAGTTATCTAACTTTTTATAAACATGTATGGTGTACTCAAGAATGATTTGATACGCTATAAATGAAATACTAAACTCTGAACTAGAGTGCACAAATTATTAGTTTTACGGTAATCGAGGTCAAGTGTGGGAATTACAACTGGTTTACGGTATATTTTGGGATTCATATTTACATATTTACGTTTATATGTTCGAGTGCGCTAGTTACGACTGCTTTGAGTGAGTGTCAGAGAATCGAAGATGCGACGTTACTTGTGCGACATACAACAGTACAAAGGATTACCGTTCTTGAGTTACGTACGAAGGTGCGATTGACTTGGGCGTAATGTGAACAGTTACGGCTGGGTCAGTCCTCATGTACTGACATTTCGTCATGTATCTGCTTTGACATATAGTTATAGGGCAATATAAAGGTTGTGAGTAGAGACAATGCTACCTTCAGACCCAAGTAGACCCGTGAAGATCCGGGTTAGAATTGATCTTCAGTAACCCATGCTTGTCGTAAGAGGCGACTAACGGGATCGGGTGGTCAGGATCGCTGACTTCGTTGACACATGCCATCGGTTCCCATATTGCATAGATCGATGCTCATGCTACTGATCACTGGATTGTCTGGTCCAGACTGGATTATTTACAGACCGCCGCCATATGGCAGGAATATTGCTGTGCGGCGTAAAAGTAAAGTCACCCACTCACTCAGACCCAAGTATAAGTGTTGCCAACACAAGGCTAACACTACACACATGAGTGCTAACTAAGATTGCTTAAACCTTCTTATTCCCCGTATAGATTCAGGCTTAGAATAATCACTCTAGCACCATACTCTTGTCTTGGGAAAGAGACTAAACAGATCGGGTGGTCAGGCTCTTTGACTTGCTTGATTGTGTTCCATAGTATCCATTCGGGGCATAACCAGCCGGGTTAGAATGGGACTTCAGCAACCCATGCTTGTCGTAAGAGGCGACTAGCGGGATCGGGTGGTCAGACTCGCTGACTTGGTTGACATCATCGTATCCCAATTGCGTAGATCGATGCTTATGATGTTGATCACTGGACTGTCTGGTTCAGATTCAATTATTCTCAGACCGCAACCATATAGCTGGAATATTGCGGCTTTAAATAACAAAGAAAGAGAGAAACAAACCTACGGGACAATTGCGGTTCATGATATCAAGCGCTGTTTTGTACAGATTGGAATATTTACATGTCACCGTCATATATCTGGAATATTGACGAGTGCGGTGTTAAACAGCAACCAATCGAATCTGAACCGTTTTACTGGCATTTTAGAAATTGGTGATCGACAATAAAGATACCTTTTAGGGAACAAATATTTAGTAGGTAATACTTTATGCATTTTCTACATAATTCAAGACTAGACTTTAAGTTTTAAGCTTGTAATACACAAATAAATATCATCAATAAGAATGAACCCTTCTATATTACACTTTAGCGTGTACATTTCTGAAGCACACACAAAAGATGTACGTGTAAACTCCGCACAGGTAGGTGATCACACGTTCACTTGCTTCAAATACTTACATTGGGTGAGCTCCCGACAGCGAACGGAAATCGATTCCTTCTATTGAAACTGTCGTCTGCACTCACGCCACTGACAAGCAGCTCAGGGGTGATCTTGATAGGCATGTTATGGAGTCGACAGGTGTCTGTAGATATATGGCTGAGTTTCCGTCAGTCGACAACTTTGGGACGGGTATGGATCATTTAGTGCACGACAGGTAAGTGAGGATAGGGTGGTGTGGGGGTAGAAAACGGGTGGTACGGTAAGAGAGCTAAGCATAGCAACCGATAAAAGGCAACGGTGTCTCATAAATAATTTGTTAACGATAGAACATGCACGTTGAGTAATCCTATATAGTAATATTCATTAAACATTGTTTAAGATTGGTAGGTGTGAGAGTCGTTATGGATTGTGCATAGGACTGCACGTTTAGGCTAATGTCCATGGCATACACAGGTCAAGTTAGCTGTTGTATATAAATTAACCACGGTCATGCATGGGTGAACACGTCCGATTATTGAAACTTGGTATCAGGTTAGGGGAAGAATTAATCTTCTGAAGTTCAATACTCAAGTATGTTTGCCTTGGAACCAGGGCTGAATAATATCCAAGGTAATCGTTTTCTTGCAGTCGAGGTGTTCAAGCAATGACATCCTGGATGTAGGGGAACTTGTAAATCGAGCTCATTCTGATCTAAAGTGAATGAAAAATATTAGTCTCCTTGTGAGGGGATGTAAATAGACATTATTTCTCTCAGTTGCCAAAAATGGCTGAATTTGATTGAAAGAAATCGAAGAAATATTTATCATTCTGATTTGAAGTCAAACGGGATCATGCACGTCCATAACGGTTAAGATAACCCTGTAATATCTGCCATCATTAATTATGAAGCCGATACGTTTAAACGTTATAAACGGCTTAAATAATAACATTATATGCAAAATATATTCTCATTTCAGCATGATATTTTTTGCCCCCTGTTTCTTTCTTTAAACTGTCAAGCATTATGTTGTTCAGACGTTAATGGATGCATTTATCTGTGCTTGGAGACCTCTTTTGATATTTATAGTTTCTGTTTAGACTTTAGACGTTCTACAGGTAATTACTCATTCTGTAACTCCTACCTCAGCTGAACAACCGGTGGCAATATATTAAATATTTAAACGGGTAGCATCGAGACGGCCTACTTACAGAACCGGTTATTGATTTTCTTGATCCGCATGTCATTTAAAATACAGATAGCTATCTGATCCAACCTGGGATGTTACCCCCGTGTCAGCCTGGTCTGGTGTCTATATAAACACGTAGTTTCAAGAGGGACAATATATGAGTATGGCCTGAGTGTCTACATAAATACGTGGTTTAAAGGGAACACGATAGGTCTCCTTCCCTGGGTGTCTACATAAATAGACAGCGATCAATAGATAAACGAGTATGGCCCGGACAATCCAGTGATTAACATGCAAGTCTCCGAGCTTGGCCATTCTTGAACGTTGAATTCTTGAAAATGTAATTACGGTAACTATCAACTAGTGGAGTTATACAATTTCTAAAATATGAATGAGGAAAGAGTCTTAAATGGCTCCAGTGAAACTTGCTAGATTGGACAGTTTGTTCAAGCCTCACCCCCTTTAGTCAGAAGGCGCTGGATAGTGAGTGGCTATACATATCAGAAGAAGAAGAAGAAGACTTATAGAATTGCAATAATACACATTTCGCTATTAAAAATCGTTTAAAACCAGCATCCGGCATATGCTTAAGAGACTCAAATATCACAGTTATAAACATTGATAATAAAATATCACTCACTCACACACACACACACACACACACACACACACACACACACACACACACACACACACACACACACACACACACACACACACACACACACACACACACACACACACACACACACACACACACACACACACACACACACACACACACACACACACACACACACACACACACACACACACACACACTACACACACACACACACACACACACACACACACATTCATGTCTATACATTAAAACGATTTGATAATTTGTCCAAGCCTCACTCCCTTTACTCAGAAGGCGCTGGATTGGCTCGTCACGCCGAAGACCCGGGTTCGAATCCCCACATGGGTACAATGTGTGAAGCCCATTTCTGGTGTCCCCCGCCGTGATGTTGCTGGAATATTGCTTAAAGCGGCGTAAAACCAAACTCAGTCAATCAGAAGGCGCTGGATGGTGGATATACATATCAGACCGAGTATCTTTTATGGTACTCCCGCCATCCTATGTATACGTCACTGTATATTTGTACTTCATATGCTGAGTAATATGATTTCTGTTCTGTTCTGAATTACCCTAGTCTGTTTTAGGAAGTTTTTTATATTCATTCAAAAAAGGCCATCAGTAAGTCATCAGACAAATAACCAATGATATTTATCAAGATTTTTGTCTTGTCTAGACATCTGCGATCTTTATTAATGTGCACAAAGTACATTTGTGCTTTAGATCTGCGGTGTGAGAAATCCCAATGAGGGTAACATGTACCAAAGGCATACCGAATACCCTTAACAAGCACTTAACAACAGCTGGTTTCATACCACGCCGATCGAAGCACTGTTTTTAATCTTCGTTGCCACTTACGTAGATTAATCGCATGCGCCTAGCTGTAAAGCCCTCTATGTTCAAGCTCTTGCTGTATGGTTGAACCACGACTTAAGCACGCATTACAAAGAGATTACCGTGAGAATATAGGCTGCCAATCAGCTCCTTTACTTGGTTCTCATAACGTATTACAGCGAAACCCCGATAATCCGGAGAATATTGGCTCCCAATCAGCTCCTTTACTTGGTTCTCATAACGTATTACAGCGAAACCCCGATAATCCGGACCACATCTCCCAATCCTTGCTTTCAGGTCAGTTACTGTTGGAATTAAATGCCTATGTGTGATTCTGAAGACATATAACAGTTTACATGTACACACGATTCGTTAATCTGGACCCTTGCTAATCCGGCGAATATCACCTGGACCGATACCTTCCAGATTAACGGGATATCAATTTACTGTGTTCTCTTTTTATGGCATACTTTTCTGTATTTACACTGAAGTTTAACAAACACTTAACAACAGCTGGTTTCATACCACGCCGATCGAAGCACTGTTTTTAATCTACGTTGCCACATACTTAGATTAATCGCATGCGCCTAACTACAAAGCCCTCTATTTCAAGCTCTTGCTGTATGGTTGAACTAACGGGATATCAATTCACTGTGTTTTCTTTTTATGGCATATTTTTCTGTATTTACACTGAAGTTTAAGAATAAAATAGTTACGTGAAATGTTAATTCTATTACGTGCACAATACTGCCCATACCATACGTTCATTATACAACAACCTCGCTGAATTATCACCAATCTGTTTTGTTATAGTTCATATCATTATGCTGTATGAATAGACTTGATTGTGTAACTCAATATTGCTCAATCGCTTAACCGCCGAGACTGAATTGTTTGGAGTTACTACAATGTATTGTCACGACAATGCCAAGCTCTATGAACTGAGTAATGTGCCCTTTCAATAACTGGTGCAACACGGATAAACTGTGATACACCGTGAGTGCAAAGTACATAGTATTTTCCTGTCGAGTATGTGTAATAATTTACGACGCATACTTGAAACAGAGCCATGGGAAAAGCCACAGGTTTGAATACACCAGGGCTATGATATGTGCTATTAAATATGTACACTAAATAAAGGCCCGTTTGTGTTCCTTTCCTGTACAAAAATAACAACTGTGTGCATATGCCCTTTTTGTGATCAGTTTCTTTCGAAACTCTTTTGTTTTTGTTTTCAAACTACGCATTTTGACATGCAAATCAGAATCAATTATCGAATATCAACATATGTAACCTTTCCATGACAATCAGTAGTTGACTAACATTTCAGCTGCTTCCGCTGCCTGTTTGCTTAGAGCGACCAGCGCCTTGAGCATGCACTACATGTAGTTGCGTGGATATGTGCGCTCAGTATAAATATCCCATAATAATAATCTGGAGAAACATACCGCCTTTGTACCAAGTTTTAAGCAGGATTCGATGACACTTTAGATATGTATAAAACCTAAATTAATATCATGTGCAGATATTTTTGAGCAATACAAGGAAGTTTGTGAGGTATAAGGTGGTGTTTGATTATATTTCCTAACTATTGTTGGAGCTGTTCTCCCGGAAATTAAAGTTTTGTTTCTGTGCCACTTTTACGATACGATACTCAAGTCTGAAAGTGCGATTGTTATCTGGCGTCAGCCATCTGCTAAACGTATTGAGTGGCGTATCTGTGACGTCACCCGATTGTTGCTCTTGAACTGCTCCAGCACAAGCATTGTATTGAGGTACCGCATCTTTTTTATATTGAGGTACCGCCAAATTTGTTTATATCACGAATCTGTCTATTTAACATTTTTTCGGCATTTTAAAGAATGACTCAACTAAACTAACATTTTGAAAGTGTAAGAAATAACATATTTAGTGACTGAACTTTGCCTTGTTTGTTGTTACTGCATATTTGTATGTATGACGAGGGCGCTTATCATAATAACTCGCATACAGTGCAGCGCTTCACAAGCCGTTGACTATGTGTTTATATGTTTGTTTGAACCTCTATTGTTTGCAATTTATTACATTTGTAACAATTTCATGTCGGAAAGCATGCCTGAGATTAACATTCGATGTTAATTTTGGGTCATTTTACCATACGTTTATTTCTGAAAGATAACCTTCACGACAAACAATTTCATGTCAACTATCAACTGCTCAGTAGTTCTGACCGGGGGGGTTCCCACTTTGCCGGACGCTTTTGTTCGGAATAAAAAATCACTGATGCGCGATAATCCCTATAACAATAGGGGATTAAGTTATAGTCTGTTTCGATCTAACAAACGGTCTAACACACTGACCAGGTACATTTTAAGTTCACGGTTGATCAGCCAGATAGGTGTATAACAAAACTAGAGCCTTCATTCACCTCTAAGACCTCACGTTTAACAGATGAACCCTTAACTTGTTAGCAATGTTAAAGTTAATGCAGTCTTTTACCAGCATCGATTCAAAAAATGGTATGAAAGATCCGCAAAATATTTGTCCTCTCTCCCGATGTGTTCTGAATCCGTTAAAAAAACCTCTGGTAACAGCCACTATTTTATTTATTTCTTTTTAAAAAACCAACAAAAACCCCTGTATTTCAAAGTTATTGCTTGGTTATGGTAATGTGAGACATTACTTATATGTTATAATAAAATGCAGACTGCTCCAGTCCTGGTTGAAGTACGACGTTGTCGAGCTATAGGCGGCTTGTACATACTGCATGGGTCTGGACCAGGCAAACAAGTGAATAAATCGTGATCGATTAGCCACTACGACACCCAATCAACCAAAATAACACATGCTAACCACAGGATCCAATTTAGTTACCAGCAACGGAGTGGCGATGACCTAGTTGAGCCCGGTCCCAATGAATTCGTATTTTTTGCGTGATACATCACTGGACCATTCAACATTATGCAATATAACTTTATCTCATGCTTATGCTTGATGTTATGTTTCAGAACCACGTACACCTCCATGAACGAGTGGAGAGACATGGTCCACGAGGGGGGCGTGGCACATCCGGGCGTTCCTCACACCCTCACAGATGCCAGATGGAGTCAGCTGAAAGATGTAAGAATGTTTTTCTTAGTTTTTGTTGCTGTTTACGTTTCTGACGTAGCCTATTTTCAATGGCGATGGGGTAGCCTTGTGGCTAAAATCTTGGCTTATCCTGCTTTAGAGCAGAGTTTTATATCTCAAAACGGTACATTGTGTGAAGCTCGTGATTTGACTGGATTGTTGCTAAAGCCGCTGAAACTAGAAACACTCACTCACACATGTAGCTGCTGGTTCATTTTCTCAAATGATTTCCAAAGAGAACTGCTTTGAGTTGTGTCATGTGCTAGTTTTGCTTCGTTTCCAAATGCGGAATAGCATTTCAATACCGATTTGGGTACAAAGAGCTATAGAAATGGTCCTCAGCGAATAACAGCAATGGGTGGTCAGGGTCGCTGACCTGGTTGATGTGGGTTATCCTATCCCATCGATGCTCATAATATCAATCGATTATTTAGAGACAGCCATTATAATAGATGAAACATTTCTGACTGCGGCGTAAAAAAACAACAACAAACAAGTTAATAAATTGTTAAACGAAGTATATTGTTTCACGACATTATACAGATGCGGTGTTTTGCAGGATAATAACGGCAGAATATTTAAATGATTTCATAAACTTTTGATAGTGTCTTCTTTTATATCGTAAATTAATTTCCAACATCTTATATATTTTTTAATCATAATCAGTCTACCCCCTCTATAAATGACGAGACAATTCACCGCCTTAAAATCTATGATGTATTTCTGAAAACGGTGTCGAACCACACCAGTCCACTCACCATGATACTGCTGCTTTCTTTTCGTGTATATGAAGGTGGTTAGCCACGCGGGTAGAGCGTTCGCTTGTCAAGCATGAGACCAGGGATCGATTACCCTGGTAGAATGTAACTCCAGTTTCCAGTGTATCCGCACAGACAATGCTGTTATATTGTTTAGCGGCGTAAAACCATACACCCTCACTCACTCTTGCTGTTTACCCGTTGTTAGTGCATTGTACTATACCACATGACTTAAACTTGCGTCCTCCTCACAGATCGACTCCGAGAGACGCAAGGATATGGGACAAAAAGCCCAGATGGAGTTCAGACGCGCCTACACTGACCTCACTTCAAAAATAGCCTACATTCACCCCAACCCCGGTCTGCCCAGGTGAGTACCTAACTGGAGGCTGTGTCTGTAGCTCATGCCTATAGCTCCTCATTATAACCCGTCATGATTCCGGTAGTGCTGTATGTCCCTACTATAGGAGCACAGTGGTGTAGTGGTTAGCATGCTGGCCTCTCACGCCAAAGGCCCGGGTTCGAATCCCGGTGGAGACACCAAAATCTGTGACCTGGGTCTCATACTGTGTTGTGTCCCTGGGCAAGGCACTTCGTCCACATTGCAATCAGTCCATCCAGCTCTTTAAAATGGGTACCTGAAAAGCGCTTAGGGTAATAATGTAACGCCAGAGAACAGCATCGCGTTGGATTCTAGGCGCAAAAATTAGCATTATTAATATTATTATCATAGCAACCTATGCTTGTCGTAAGAGGCAACAGAATGAATCAGTGGTCAGCTGATTGCATGTCATCGTATACAAGCCCTGTGTTCATTATGTCTGTCACTGGATTGCCCCATCTATACCGCCGTCATATACATGGATATTTTTGAGAGTGGCGTTAAACAACAAACTAACGGCATAATAAGAAGCAAACAACGGGTTAGCTTACGGTCAACAAAACGTATATTCAATAAAACGATATGTGTATGTAGTTACAATGTATTATTCGTAACTGCGAAACCTTACACTTAACTAGCATTTTACAAACACGCCCAACATTTCCTGAAAACATAAGCAACAAAAAACCTTATTTGAAACAGATCACAACCATCGCATTTACCAATATCTGACAGCGAGAACAGACGATAGTGTAACAATCTTTCTATAACACCAGCATCATGTTTGCATGCTACCACAATGACGGGTCCTTTTCTTGACCATGGCAGTTAATATGCATAGACTTTAGGTTTTCTTTCACTCCAATTTGATTTTGAAAGTGCGGCATATTTTAGAGAAAAATACGTGTCAAACTCGAGACCTGGGTCCCGATCCACAAATCGTCCGTAACGTTACGACCTATCGTAGCTCTATACTTTATCATAGGCTTACGAATGACATAGTGCTACGAACGTTTTGTGGATCGGGTACCAGCACCGTTTGAACGTCTGTCCTTGTTTCAGAACGCGACAGGGTCGTATTGGAGGAACATGGCGTCATATCAAAGAGGTCCTCGGTCACAGTGGCAACAGGACGGTGTTTGTGGATGGTTAGTGGGTGCAGTAAATGTATTGTGTCTGACGCAGTGTGCGAAATAGTTTCCAAATTTTGCTAGCGAGTCGGGCTAGCTATGCCCGAAAGTTACTAGCTCACAAAATAATTCACAAGCCCGAAATTTGAATGTAGACACGGATTTCATCATGCTGGTAATACGCTGAACATGTTTATCAGGCCATAATTTTGCCAGTAGGGCCAGTGACTGGAGATTTACTGGCCCGACTGGATTTTCGCACACTGGTCTGACGGCACTGGTCGTTGCTCATGCTGTCAACCACATGTTTTTACTATGAACTCTATTGCAGTCGGCCATCATTCAACCGTCTATTAACCAGTGTAATCATTATTCTCCTTATATATTTGGGGTTTTGGGGTTCAACAGAAATTATACCAGCTAAATCAAATTATCATCAAATTATGCGGCTACTGCGGATTAAGGTAATGACGTCCCTTTTCAAAGATGGTCATAGTAGGGAAAGTATATACGTTGTTTGTTACAGCAGACTGCAGTTATACTCTAGATAAAGAAAGTATAACACCATTATTGCTGAGAAGACTCTATCATGACTTTGGCAAATACTCTATTCTGACTGGCCTGTAAGAGGTTTCATAATAACCACCTCTGATTGAAACTGTTAATTCGAAGACCTTGTCACTCACACATTCCTGTTTTACCCATCTTCCTTGGCAATATAGGATACAAATCTACATTAATGAACTATGGCACCCGTTTTGTCCACAGGTCTGGTGGGTGTATACGACAACGAGTTTAACAATTCTCTTCAGGCAGAGATTCCTCATCGACCACATCTCGCAAACCCTTGCTATGCCCCGCTCTCGAGAGATTTGGATAGCTACCACCAGAGGGACCTCAGCACAATGCAGAGATCGGGATACGTACCGTCGTTCGGGCAAACATGTAATTATTATACATTAATCTAATCTACACTAAAGTACAATTAAAAGTGACAATTAACAACTGTATAATCGGGTCCACTGCATCGGAATCATTTTCTTTAACCTTCAAAAGATATATTTTCGTCATTAATTTCAGCAATATAATCGGAATAGGACTGAGGAAATGTTTTGTTTACAATGAATCAGATCATTTTTAGACCTTCTCAGCCTCATCCCATTAAGATCATTTGTCTTATGTTATTTTAACAAAACCTCAAAACTCAAAACAATACATTCTTAGCTCCAAACTATCTGGTAAAGTAGAGACGATTACATTCAAATGGAAATCATATTATTAGGGCTCTTAGATGTTGTTCAAAATGGCGCCTGGGTTTCATCCAGCCGTGGTATAACTATTTCTGTATGCCATTGCTGAGTATGACGATAAAACTATAACCAAACAAGTCGCGAGTCAGTATTTTCTTACAACATTTATTCTATTAATTTCACACAACCTGTAGGATAAACACATGGCAGTGATAAAAGTTTTATTATCCCATCTTGGTAAAACAGTGCGAGTATGGTTTTAAGCCGCTTTTAGCAATATTCCAGCAATATCACGGCGGGGGACACCAGAAACGGGCTTCACACAGTGTACCCATGTAGGGAATCGAACCCGGGTCTTCTGCGTGACAAGCGAACGCTTTAATTACTAGGCTACCCCACCAACTTGGGAAAGAAGCATTGTGTAATACCTGTAACCAACATGATGCCTACAACGATGGGCATTAACGGTCTTGTCACTGTGATGTCAGTCATATTACCTTTAAGCTGGCGAGTAAATTACCCCGAGAAAGCCTAAAAGCACGTAAAAAGATAGTTATGCTCCGAGTGAAATTTTATTTCCCCGATTTGTCAAAATTTAGCTTCAACATATTTTACGTGTATGGATGTATAAATGAAGATCTGTGAGCACACTGTTTAACTCAGCAATAATAACTTCGCACGCACGCACGCACACTCGCGGGCAGGCACACACGAATATCTTGACAAATCAGTGCCATCTTTCAGTGCAGTGATACGAGCCAAGACCCACCCATTATATTGTCAGCCAGTCAGGAAACAAGTCCGATGGTTGACGAATGAAAAGTGCCATGGAATAACAAGTGATTTATTTATTTTATATCAGATGGATAAAAGATAAATCATGCGATATAATTTCTGTTCTCCAGTGCCGAGTTTGCCGAGAGTAGGGAGGGTATCCAGCGCAGACCCAGATGTGCTGAGGAAGATGAGTCTGCAGAGCGAGCACAAATACAAGGGAGTGTATAACTACAAATAATGTAATATTGGTTGTTATCCACTGGAGCAATGTTATTGATGTTGTATTATGTGAAAATGAAATGAAATTACTTTTTATGATTTATCGAAATTGTAAATGTCGAAATGATAGGGTTCAGCGTTGATCATAGATTGCCATCTTCAGTTTCATTTTCGTGTTTGTTAAGCTCACTGAAACAAGTCGTATTTGGGAATTTTTCACCCCTAAATCTTCAGTTTCGTTACATCCGATACACATTTAACTGTAGCCATGGACATTACTCAGAGGCTGGAAACCTTTCGTGTCTACCATCTCATTGGAGTAACCGTTCAGCATAAGGCACTGTAGGGCATTTATGTGGTACTTGTTTAGGACAAAAGCGCGAAAATGTAACACTTGTTGCAGCACATGTCTGTTTTGTAAAGTCATTATTCCAAGCTGTGATAATTTAACCACTCATGCAAGTCTTTCATTCAAATGAACAATAGATGGTTGATAGAGAAACATATGCATTGAACTTTTACGAAACAGTATTATTTATGTATTTCTTGAAACAGTATTATGTTTTGTTTATAGTTGTGTTTCTTCAATGTGTACATTCTATATATATATTATGTTTGATTCGGGTCGAATGGTACGTGATGTTTCAAAGTCACATTCAGGTTCGTGTTTTATGCGAGTATATTTGTGAAATAAACCCAAGACAACCGTAACCGTTTCTATCTTTTGTGCTATTAAGGAGTAGTACAAAATAGTAAGCTGATGTTTGTTAGGTGCACACGTGGGCTCATTTATTTATCACGGCAACATGAGTGCGGCCTCTGCGCCAAAACAAAGTGCTCTTGCTGTATTTTTTCCAGGTGGGTTTGAGTGTGCTGCAGGTCATGTATAGCCGTATAAATATGAAATGAGTGAGTGAGTGAGTGAGTGAGTTTCGCTTTACGCTGCACTCAGCAATATTACATCTATATATCGGCGGTCTAATCGAGTCTGGACCAGAAAATCCAGTGGTCAACAGCATGACCATCGATCTACGCAAGTGGGATATGATGACATGTGTCAACCAAGTCAGCAGCCTCACCACCCGATCCCGTCGCCTCTTACGACAAGCATGGGCTACTGAAGATCAATTCTAACCCGGATGTTCACAGGTGTCTTCTTTATAGAAACACCGGGTACCTTGCTCTGTCTTTGTCTATATCAGTCCACGTTGTTGTCACTAGATTCCTTTGACTGTAATCAATTTCGTCGTACAAGAAAGGACATTATTATAGGTTTGGGTTCATCGGAAACTTGTTCTTTCACACCACAATTCCTTCAATAACAGAGTTTCTTCTTGAAATATGTATCCGTGAAGATTCCGTGAAGATCCGGGTTAGAATTGATCTTCAGGAACCCATGCTTGTAAGAGGCGACTAACGGGATCGGATGGTCAGGCTCGCTGACTTGGTAGACACATTGTCATCGGTTCTCAATTGCGTAGATCGATGCTCATGATGTTGATCACTGGATTGTCTGGTTTAGACTCGATTATTTATTGACCACCGCCATATAGCTGAAATATTGCTGAGTGCGTCGTAAAACTAAGCTCACTCATTTACTCTTGATCTATTTACACGATATCTGCAAAAGTAAACCAAATCTCCATATACCACCAGCGTGACCAGATTAGAACACTAACATTCCTCACCAAGGAAGGGACGAGAAAAAGCTGCAGACACTCAGGAGTGTATGGTTGGTGGTGAAGGTGATTGACTTCCAGATTTTAGACAATTGTTAAATGGTTTTTATACATTAAAGTAAGGAAGAAAACGCATTGAAGATGACCAGGAAGACCAAACCGGAAGTCTTGATTGCTACTGTAGAGATCTTCATTATGAAGGATTGTCATGTCAAGAATGAATTAAATTTAAAATATCAATCTCTCAACAATTATTCATGAGCATTTGGGTATTTTAAGGCACATGCGTATGCGCAAAGGGTACCTCGACCCATGTGTATGCCAGATGGGTACCTCGACCAACGTGTATGCCAAGTGAGTACCGCAACCAACGTTTATGTCAAGTTGGTACCTCAAACACATTTATGCCAGATAAGTACCTCGACCAACGTGTATGCCAAGAGGGTACCTCAACCCACGTGTATGCCAGATGGGTACCTCAACCAACGTGTATGCCAAGTGGGTACCTCAACCCACGTGTATGCCAAGTGGGTACCTCAACCAACGTGTATGCCAAGTGGGTACCTCGACCAACGTGTATGCCAAGTGGGTACCTAAACCCACGTGTATGACAGATGGGTACCTCGACCCACGTGTATGCCAAGTGGGTACCTCAACCCACGTGTATGACAGATGGGTGCCTCTACCAATGTGAATGCCAAGAGGGTACCTCGACCCACGTGTATCACAAGTGGGTCCCTCGAACACGTTTATGCCAGTTAGGTACCTCAACCCATGTGTATATCAGATGGGTGCCTCTACCAATGTGTATGTCAAGAGGGTACCTCGAACACGTTTATGCCAAGAGGGTACCTTGACCCACATGTATGCCAAGTGGGTACATTGACACACGTGTATGCCAGATGGGTACCTCGATCCACGTGTATGCCATGTCAGATGGGTGCCTTGTCCCACGTGTAAGTTAGATGGGTTACTTTTACCGTATTTCTTCACCCCACGTGTTTGCCAGATGGGTACTTCGACCCATGGGTATGACAGATGGGTACCTCGTGTATGCCAGAAGGTTACTTTGATCCATGTGTTTGCCAGATGGGTACTTTGACCCACGTGTATGCCAGATGGGTACTGTGACCCACGTGTATGCCACTTGTATGCCAGATGGGTACTTTGACCCACTTGTATGCAGATGGGTACTTTGACCCATGTGTATGCCAGATGGGTACTTTGACCCATTTGTATGCAAGATGGATGGGTACTTTGACCCACTTGTATGCCAGATGGGTACTTTGACCCACTTGTATGCCAGATGGATGGGTACTTTGACCCATATGTATGCCAGAAGGATACTTTGATCCATGTGTTTGCCAGATGGGACCCACTGTTGCCAGATGGGTACTTTGACCACGTGTAGGCCAGATGGGTACTTTGACCCACTTGTATGCCAGATGGGTACTTTGACCCATGTGTGCTTCCCTTGTATGCCACTTGTGTATGCCAGATGGATTTGGTGTATGCTGGGTACTTTGACCCATATGTATGCCAGATGGGTACTTTTTGACCCACGTGTATGCCAGATGGGTACTTTGACCCACGTGCATGCCAGATGGGTACTTTGACCCACTTGTATGCCAGATGGGTACTTTGACCCATGTGTATGCCAGATGGGTACTTTTGACCCATGTGTATGCCAGATGGGTACCAATGTGAATCATGCATATAAATCAATAGTGGCTATCATAGTCATACCATAAGGCACAATAACAACAAAACATTATCCCAAGCAGAGAAGAGTGTCACACTGTTGTATATCTCTATATATGAATGCTCTTGCCATCAACCACTGGTTTGTCTGATCACGTCTCTAGGGAACCTGAAAAAGAGGTACTTTGACCCAGGTGTTTGCCAGATGGGTACCTCGAGTATGCCAGAAAGGCACTTTGACCAATGTGTTTGCCAGATGGGTACCTCGTGTATGCCACAGAGGTACTGACCCATGTGTTTGCCAGATGGGTACCTCGTGTGTGCCAGAGAGGTACTGACCCATGTGTGTGCTAGATGGGTACCTCATGTATGCCAGAGAGGTACTGACCCATGTGTTTGGCAGATGGGTACCTCGTGTATGCCACAGAGGTACTGACCCATGTGTATGCCAAGTGAGTACCGCAACCAACGTTTATGTCAGTTGGTACCTCAAACACATTTATGCCAGATAAGTACCTTTGACCAACGTGTATGCCAAGAGGGTACTTCAACCCACGTGTATGCCAGATGGGTACCCTCAACCAACGTGTATGCCAAGTGGGTACCTCGACCAACGTGTATGCCAGATGGGTACCTCAACCCACGTGTATGCCAGATGGGTACCTCAACCAACGTGTATGCCAAGTGGGTACCTCGACCAACGTGTATGCCAGAGTGGGTACCTAAACCCACGTGTATGACAGATGGGTACCTCGACCCACGTATGCCAGATGGGTACCTCAACCCACGTGTATGCCACATGGGTGCCTCTAACAATGTGAATGCCAAGATGGGTACCTCGACCCACGTGTATCACAAGTGGGTCCCTCGAACACGTTTATGCCAGTTAGGTACCTCAACCCATGTGTATATCAGATGGGTGCCTCTACCAATGTGTATGTCAAGAGGGTACCTCGAACACGTTTATGCCAAGAGGGTACCTTGACCCACATGTATGCCAGAGCGGGTACATTGACACACGTGTATGCCAGATGGGTACCTCGATCCACGTGTATGCCATGTCAGATGGGTGCCTTGTCCCACGTGTAAGTTAGATGGGTTACTTTTACCGTATTTCTTCACCCCACGTGTTTGCCAGATGGGTACTTCGACCCATGGGTATGACAGATGGGTACCTCGTGTATGCCAGAAGGTTACTTTGATCCATGTGTTTGCCAGATGGGTACTTTGACCCACGTGTATGCCAGATGGGTACTGTGACCCACGTGTAAGCCACTTGTATGCCAGATGGGTACTTTGACCCACTTGTATGCAGATGGGTACTTTGACCCATGTGTATGCCAGATGGGTACTTTGACCCATTTGTATGCAAGATGGATGGGTACTTTGACCCACTTGTATGCCAGATGGGTACTTTGACCCACTTGTATGCCAGATGGATGGGTACTTTGACCCATATGTATGCCAGAAGGATACTTTGATCCATGTGTATGCCAGATGGGTACTTTGACCCACGTGTAGGCAAGATGGGTACTTTGACCCACTTGTATGCCAGATGGGTACTTTGACCCATGTGTAAGCCACTTGTATGCCAGATGGATGGGTACTTTGACCCATGTGTATGCCAGATGGGTACTTTGACCCACGTGTATGCCAGATGGGTACTTTGACCCACGTGCATGCCAGATGGGTACTTTGACCCACTTGTATGCCAGATGGGTACTTTGACCCATGTGTATGCCAGATGGGTATTTTGACCCATGTGTATGCCAGATGGGTACCAAGTGAATCATGCATATAAATCAATAGTGGCTATCATAGTCATACCATAAGGCACAATAACAACAAAACATTATCCCAAGCAGAGAAGAGTGTCACACTGTTGTATATCTCTATATATGAATGCTCTTGCCATCAACCACTGGTTTGTCTGATCACGTCTCTAGGGAACCTGAAAAAGAGGTACTTTGACCCAGGTGTTTGCCAGATGGGTACCTCGAGTATGCCAGAAAGGCACTTTGACCAATGTGTTTGCCAGATGGGTACCTCGTGTATGCCACAGAGGTACTGACCCATGTGTTTGCCAGATGGGTACCTCGTGTGTGCCAGAGAGGTACTGACCCATGTGTGTGCTAGATGGGTACCTCATGTATGCCAGAGAGGTACTGACCCATGTGTTTGGCAGATGGGTACCTCGTGTATGCCACAGAGGTACTGACCCATGTGTATGCCAAGTGAGTACCGCAACCAACGTTTATGTCAAGTTGGTACCTCAAACACATTTATGCCAGATAAGTACCTCGACCAACGTGTATGCCAAGAGGGTACCTC